GGGGGGGAGAGCGGGGCACCTTGTTGGGGGCGACTCGTTCCCCCCCCCGCCCCCGCCCCAAACCTCTCTTATCTCTCAGTCTAACAGGAGATCGGTTGCTGCGGCAAGCGGGCGGGGGAGACCAAAAAGACCGCAGTGAGCTGGGTGTGGGTGAGAGGAGTCGCGCGCGGTGGTGCGGCGCTCTGTGGTAGATGGAGGGGTGTCCTGACTCCCGGGGGCGTCTGGCTGTGGGAATGTGTCGGGATGTGAAGTGAGGGCGGGGGCAGTCAGGAATGCTGGGTGGGCGTGGATCCCATCCTTGGCTGAGGTTTCCTCTGGAGACTGGGAAGACTAAGCAGCAGGTAAAAGGGCGGGGGGAGTGCGTGGGAGGAAGGAGCTGAAAGAGGAAAGTGGCGGGTTGGTGGATGCGAGGAGACATGGGCGATGAGAGTATATTCCGCTGCATGTCTGCGTGCGCGCGCCTCCCGCCCGGCGAAATGGCTGGAGGGGAAAGCCAGGGACTGGCCTTCTTTGCTCCAACATGGGTGTGAACTGGGGATGCGGGAAGAGGGTGTGTGAGGGAAGTTGAAAACGGAGAGAGGGAGGGCTTGGGAATGAGGGCTTTTGACGGAGTTGTGGGTCTTCCAGAGAACCCTACCCTACTCTACTCTGCTCTACTCTGAAAAGGGAAAACGCGAAGGCGGGGACACCGAGTAAAGGCAAGGTCCAATGCACACTTAGTCGCGTGTGTAGAGCAGAGAGGCGCAGGGTGGCACCGGGCGTTGCTGAAGGCAGGAAAGTGGGGAGGGCGGCGAATGGCCCATAGAGTGGAAGAGGGAGTGGGGGATCAACTTGGTGGAGACAGTGAGTAGCCATGAGGTAGATCTGGAAGACTGGGGGGCGGTGGGGGGTGGCAGCTGAAAGTAAGTGAGGCTCCTAAGGAGCTGTCCATGGTAGAAAGTAGATCTGGGAGAGGGGTGGAAGTGGGAGAAGAAATGCGTGAAAGCAAAGGGTTTGTGGGAGTGAATTCAACCCCAGGAGTTGGGGAACAGCCAACTCAAGAGGTTTTGGTGCTTGGATGGCGCTGAGTGATCTGAGATATGTACTATGCCCAGGCAATGGTTATGGGGCTGGCTGGTAGAGAAGACAGATAGAGGAAAGAGAAAATTGACGTGGCTATGGAAAGGTATGCATAAAGAGAAGGGAATCAATAAGACCCATTCAGTGTGGGATTTAGACAGGAAAGATTTGAGCCACTGGAGGGGTAGAGAAAAGCATCTATCTTAGGATGGAAAACATGCACAGAGGTTGGACTCACACAAACCCCAACCAACCCAAGAAAAGGGATAATGGGAGTGGAGGAGACTATATTGAGGACCACAGGTCCCCACCTTTGTGTCAGGTGGTTTCTCTAATAAGAAGAAGCTGTTCCAATATAGAATCAAGTGCTTTTTCTGTGACCAGTGACTCTGTCACCTGTTCCCCATCCACAGATGATAAAAATTAATCTGGTTTTAGAAAACTTGCATAACTTAATAATCAAACACGTCCTGTTCCTTTTGTAAGAGAGACCTGTTGAAATGTCATCAGTTTTTTCTATGAAGTAATGTGGCTTTATTGTTAGGAATCTCTTTCCAAGCATGAATTATAGTTGCCTCAGAGGATTAAACAGGTGAGTGAAAAATACATAATTGGTATCTATTCAGGTCAGGTATGTATACCTGACCATAAATTGGTCAGGTATAATTGGAGAAGTCAGACAAAGATGGAGGCATTATTCTGAGGAACTGCCTCAGATTAAAGGAGGGCAAGATGATTGAAGTACTGGGTCTGGGCATGACTTTTATCCTCTAGTTTATGGGAACAATAATAACACTGCTCAAGATGTGATGTAATGGCATCAGGGGTTTAAAAGACCAAGAGAATTAGCGCTGGGACCATTGCATCTGCCGGTGACATCAGCAGCGTGTGCATTCAACAGACAGGAAACCAGGCCAGGCCATCAAGCTGAACCAAACTGTAGGTTCTCAGGAAGAGCAACGGGCTGCAAATGTTGGTGATGACAGACATAAATTGGTCGGGCGTAATTGGAGAAGTCAGACAAAGATGGAGGCATTATTCTCTCTCTGTTTGATGAGCAGTCAAAATGTTTAGAGGAACAAGTCAGGTGTTTCTTTTATATGAGCATGTTTAACTAAATAATGGAAAGAGACATTTGTACCACCGTGCCATGTGTCACTCTTCTTGTCAGTGTGCCAGCCAATTAATACAAAATAAATAACGGGGTAGCAGTTGCTTGTGTGTGCTGGTGACGCTGCTTGTAAGACAATCAGTAAGTCGGTATGACTTGTTATGCACAGAGGTTTTCCCTGTCTGAGGGTTCGAATGAATTTGGAGAATTGTGCCAGTCAGAGAATCAGTTATGGTATTCATGTTCCAGCATCACAAAACTGGTGTTTGTATGTTAATTATATAGTGTGTCAGGAAAAAGCTGGAGTATGGCGGCTGGAGACATGCACTATATCATTAATTGTTGTAGCAATCGTGGGCTTTTTTCTGTTTGTTTTTTGTTTGTTTTGCCTCCCTGAGATTTACAAAGTGGTGCATGCATGTGTAAGGAGATGAAGCATGAAGCACCAAGTTGTAGGTATAGGAGCACCAATACGGTCTTGTATCTGGTATCTTTGAAAAGATTATTTTTCTAATGTTGAATTCATATGGAGTGATCCTCTATGAATGTGTACTCAGAAGGAAGCTCACTGAGTTCAATAGGATTTATTTCCAGGCAGGTGTGTATACAGCACGTTCCCCATCTTGGCATCCTCTAGACGTGTTTGGGTTGCCACATTCAGAATTCCCAGGCAGAATTCTTTCGGTATGGGGATGGATTGAACAGGGTGGGTTGAAACTCTACCATGTTAGCTTAAACTCTTCATTTGGTTCACATGTTGCATTAACCCATAACATGCTTTATGTTGTGGAATGTATTTTGTTAATGAGTAATTGTGGTTTGCAAGCCATTACTTATGACTTAGTGTGTTGTGCAAACCTAGACAGTTTATTTAATAAGCCATGGTTAACTAAACCTAGCTAAGTACAATATAAAAAATAGATTCTGAGTTTAAAATTACTTAAAGATGACTTCAACAGCTGCCTGAAATAGCCTCACCCCTGTGCCTACTCCACAATTCATTATTAACTCACAGTTCATGTATTCCATATTGGATCAATGTCTGCTTTTGTACTGCCCATCCTTTGCCCAGCTGTGATTCTGTAACCTGGTGCTTTCCCTCTCCCCTCTCTGTTTTGATCAGATGTAAACGGCCCTTGTTATAATTCCTTATTATCTGAATCACTCTTTGTTACACTGCCTATTATGGGCATTGTAGGAGGAGCTGTGGTGGCAAAAAATCTGGAATCTGGTCGCACCTTTTCCGGTGAACAAATTGTATTAAAAGGCATAAGTTTCTGATAAAGCTTATGCCTTTTAATACAAGTTGTTAATTGGAAAAGGTGCGACCAGATTCCAGATTTTTTGTGTTCTTGGTCATTTGACTCAGTGATTTCGTCCCATCTGAATTAATATGTTCTATAACAGATATACAAGGCAGTAACTATACAGTACTGGAGCTAAGTACCTCTGGGCAGGGGTGGAGAAATCCATCCATTTTGATTTGCTACTCATTTTCCGTCATTTGTTTTTTTATGTCCCATTTCCACACCACTTTGAGATGAGTAAAACTTGAAGAGACAGTCTTTTTTTCTAATGTGCACTTTTTTGAGCATGATTTTGCCTTAGGCATACTTTTTCAAGGAATTTTTCTCTTGTATAATATTTATCTATATAAATTTAATCAATACTATTTTATTAACTCTTCCCTTTTATTTATACATTTTGACATGTATTTTTAAAATTGAACAATGGCGATTTTTTATGAACAACTGAGTTTTGCTTTGCATTTTGGTTTGAAAGTAAATTTGCATTGAAAGGTGAACTGATTTCTCATTTCTCCCTTAGACTAAGAGGCTGGATGAATATTAGTTTGAATTACTGAAGGAAGACACTATTTACATGCAATTAATAATATGTACTGTTGTACTTCCACATATTCATCTGAGTCACAGCTCCTAATCTTGATTTACAATTAACTATTTTATGTATGATGAGAGTCAATTTTGGGGCTATAAACTAGATGTCTGGCAGTTCTTGTGGGGAATACCCCAACAGATATGCTAATTATAACTTGCTTATATTTCTTTTATTTAACAATAGCCACATAAAAGGGTTCATAAAATTACACAGCGTTTTACCATTTTAAAAACAAAATGTATGTGCCAATAATGAAATAACAAATAAACTTTAAAGGTAGAAAATTGGCAATAATGTATCTGGAGTAGGGCTAACAAGAGTGAAGAAGGCATAATGATGATCACTTTCTGCAAAGTCTTAACTCACTTTTGAAAAGACATTTGGGAAGAAGCTAGTTGTGCTATCTAAAGAGTTTCCGGTAAATCTGGCCTTCCAATGAAAAGCATTTACTTCTACTGGAAGTGAATCAAACCACTTTGTAGGATCTGAAGAGCAAGGCTGGGGTGGAGGGGGAATTATTTTCTTATAGAAGGAATGGTTTCCAGGGACAATTTGAATTCTAGCAATTAGGGAGCTGAGAGGGAGGATCCAGTATTGAACTGAGCTGAGAAACTAATCAGCAATTTATGCAGACTTCTCAAATGGATGATGGGTGAGACCATTAAATTGCTTCCATTAGCCTGCCACACTTTAGCCTAGATGAAGTTCCTGAACTGCCTTTAGCAGCAGCATCATAAAAAGTGCATTACAACAGTCGAATCTGGAAGACACCAGTGCCTGAATTACAGTGGTCTGCAGATGAATAGAAGCCAAATTGCTCACACTGAGCAAGGCGAGTCATAATGCAAGGCCAGCTCACATGTGAGAGTTTTAGAAACACATTTTAAGAAACAAATCACATATTCAATGTACTCCTGAGAAGGGCACCCGTGAATGCCTCAAACCTGTTTTTAAATAGGTATCAAGAATGGCCACTGAGCAGGGAGTTGGGTCTGGAGATGTCCCTGGCAAGTGTGAACGTGATGGGAAGTTCCACCTCAGCTCCCTCTTCATTTGTGGACAGGAAGGGGGTACAGAAGTACTGAACCTGGAAAGGTAACAAGAGGAATTGGAGGCATTTAGAGTTTAACACAGCAGGGGCACCCTCCTCTCCATGAGTGCCCACCTGATAGTTTTATACCCTCAGCATTTTATACCCTTAATGCAAGAGATTCTGTTAGGTCTCAAAAATGCACTCAAAAATGAAAATGAAGGTGGGGGTGTGTGTGGATTGTGTGACTATTGATCCTTGGTGAATAGCAGTGCAACCGCAACAGTTCTTGTGAACTATGAATTAATAGTTCCTTCCCCAGCCTGGTGTTGCCAGAGCTCATGTTTACTGACAATGTTAGAAGTTATAAGCCAAAATATCAGGATGTCAGTTGGGGAGGAATGCTGTAAGTTTTAAAAATTGACTTTTTAAAAAAAATCTTAGTATACTATTTCTTAACAGTTGTCCTTTACTTTGTATATGCCTAAACATAATGTAAGGGTAGAGGGTTTTATGTTTGCTTATCTTAAAGTATTAATTTTCAATGCATTCCAATGTTGCCATTTATGTATTATGAAGTCCTGCTGATCTTGAAAAGCAAGCACAACCTGGTTAATATTTGGATGGGGGATCACTAAGAAATCTCAGGGCTGCAAAGTAGATGAGTAGGTAAAAAAGCATCTGGGAGAAAAACAACAGAACCCACTTCCATAGATTTGCCTAGAACAAAGGTAGAGGCGTTCATGAAGTCACCACGTGTCCATCTCAATGTGAGGGAGTCTTTTCATTAAATCTTGTCTTCCAAGCATGGAATTGCTCTTTGCTTCCCTTCCTCTCATCCACTATTCAACTCTGAAATGGCTTAATGTTGGCATACTTACCTTCAATGACATTACCCGGCGTAAGCCCCCTCAAGAACCCCTCAAAGTCAACTTCCATGCCTTAAAAGTTAAGCTGACAATTTGAAATTTTGTCTAGTTTCAGATTAGTACTACACTTAAATCTCAGTGCTGATCTTTTTTCAGATGGTCTTGGAGATCACAGTGGGGCAAACAGTCAGGGTTCACTTGATGTCTGGAACTCAGCTGTCCTTCTGACAGTCATTCCAGAAACCCATATGCCACTGAGAATGATGTGAAAGATGGTGGATGGGAATATGAGGCTACGTTGGTAGGAAAGAGTCCTTGGGCTGGATCCCCATGCTTCATCTATATGTTAACATTTTTAGCTGTTATTTAAAAGATCAGCCCAAGCTGGGAGAAAGCCCTGTGCAGAGGAAGGGCATTCTGCACAAGTTCAGAGGAATATGTATACAATCTATGCATTACTAAACATTTATTATTTATTTACCATGTGTGTATTTATTATAGAAATCCAAATGAATTTATATTTAATATGCATACACAGAATGTCAGTGTGCCAGTATCTGCTCTATGTGATGAAGTTTTTCCAAGTACTATGGAACAATTAAAGACAATTTTAAAAAAGCAACTAAGGTCTAACACCAGTTTTGGATTTATTATTCTAAACATAATAAAAACCATCATTTCCAAAATGCAAACTTCTGCCCAAGATGTATCTGATATGAAAGCTTAATCAAATTATTCTCCAGGAAATAGAGCAGGGGTGGAAATTGCACCTTCTGTAATTATATATTTATGAATGAAAAATCCCAAGATTCACCAACTGGCACTAGTTTGGAATTTGGAAGCCACGAAAGTTGTTCTGACTGCTGGAACTGAATAAACCTCACATCAGTCCAATCACCCCCCTTTCTTCATTTCAGCAGCATATTTTAGTGGTATAAACATCTTCCTGTTATTATTGCTGAAAAACAATTGGAAGTCAAACCTCTTCCTTGAAATCATGTTGAGTTCTATCGCTAGGACTGAATGTACCTTCATTCCTACCCTAGAAAACCAGCCACATACAGAGGAGGCAATGCTCTTTTCTTGCAGTATGAAGGGATCAAAGTGATTGCAAACACTGCTCAGCTAATAACCATTTCCATATCCAACTTCTTATTATCCAAGTATCACTTAAGGAATTCTAAAGGCTCCTTGAAGATCTTGTGGCCTCAGGTTGAAAAACATGGGAAGAGTATCTCTATTATTTCCTATTTTCCTCATGGGAATTCAGACATAGAGAGCATGCTCTGGGGTTGATGCAATCCAAGGTACCACCTTGTTCAACATTACTGAACTCAAGCCTCCTCTAATTCTCCCCAAACCAGATCTTTGCCTGTCATGTCAGATGATGTTGAGAAGAACGAGGCTCCTCCAGAGCCGGAGCAAAAACAAGATGGAAAAGAGGAGCAAGAAGCAGAGCCAAAAGCAGAGCTGGAGCCACAGCCACAGCCAGAGCCACAGCCAGAGCCACAGCCACAGCCAGAGCAGCAGCCACAGCTAGACTCCCCGCCACATAGCCCCCCAGCACCAGAGGTCCCTGCATCATCCATGCTGGTGACTGTGACAATTGAAGAGGAGACTGTGGGGGGCCCACAACTGAATGGGGATCCCCTGGGCCTGAGGGCCGGCTCAGCTGAGGAATTAGGGACCACCCCAGCCCCTCCTACTAGCCCCCCAGCGCGGTCCAAGTCGGCATCGTTGAATGACCTGAAGCCCCAGAACAGCATCAATGGTGGCCCACGGGCTGTCGTGAGGAGTAGCTTGTCTGGGTCTCAGGTGCATCTCGCGGGAAAAGCAGGATCTCCGCGGGCCAGTCTGAGTCGGCAAGCCTCAGCAACTGGATCGGCAGCTGGGGAGGCTGGGGAGAAACCCAGAGACTACATATTCATTGCTGCTCTCTCCTGCTTTTGCCCCATCTGGCCGATCAACATTGTTGCCTTTGTGTACTCAGTTATGGTAAGTGCCAGGGTGGGTTTGGACAATTAAAAGAGCCACCTGCTATGTTGACCCTGTAAAATGCTTTCCCTGGCATGGTTTAATGCTGCTTCACATACACCCTTTCTATCCAGCCTACCTACTGCTGCACAGACACAAGGAGAACAATATACGTTCTGGAATGGAAATGGAATAGATTGCTCAGACTAGGATGTTTCTGAGAAAGGAGGTCAATCCACATGAAAAAGCAGGCTGGTGCCTCCTCATAAACACACACTTTACCAGCAAGTTTCCTTTAAGCCACACTTTTTTGGGGGGTGGGAAAACCCATACAATTTTTGGCCATGTGGAGTTCTTGGTGCTCTCTGAGCTTGGTTGTTTGCTTACAGACGTTTCATTACCCAATGAAAGCTACTGTATATAAACAGAGAGCAAACCCTGCACTCACCAGCACTGATGGTGTTACCTAGCTGGGTAATGAAATGTCTGCAAGCAAACAACCCAGCTCAGAGAGCACCAAGAACTCCACAGCTCAGCTCTGAGCCACATACATTCTCTTCTATTGGAATTTTTGGCCACTCTTGTCAGTGGAGAGGGAGCTCGTATCTGCTTTGTCAAGAAGAAGGACAATACAAAGTTGTGGCTTGCATAAAATTTGCATGTGCTAATGTATATATGTGTGTATGCACATATGGAAAAAATAAATCTATCATACAAATAATACATGTTCAGCTTAGTGGGCAAGGGTGTGTGCAGGGAGGGGGCCCAAAAGGTCAAGATGGTGCCACAACCATGCAATTAATGCACATAAAAAGGGGGCAGGTTTGGTCACATGGTTTGGTTGATGGTTGCGGCTGCCATCTTTACTTTTTGGAACCCCCCTGGTAGTGAGGATGGGTGGATGATTTATATGCCTGATTGAGAAGCTGTCTAGCTGTTAATATCTCAGCTTCTCCTTCTTATGGGTCTCTAAGCCAAACATGATCTGGGCAGTCTTTCAAACAATGCTTGAGAAAAGGGACTGTTCGCATTTTGCTTTTCAGTGTACCCATTTCCAATTTAATTTTTTAATCAAAATAATCAGATGGGGCAGGAACAGAGTATGGGCCACCACTGCCAACTCCAATATTAGGTTTTCCAGCCATATCAACAAAGCTCCCTCTTGGGAGGCAAGATCACTAGTGGAGTTTTATTTCCTTTGGGTGCCACAGTGCTCCAATATCTCAGGCAGATCTGTTGCTTCAGTTCTCGTCCTTTGAAGAACACGCTAAATCCAGTCTTGCAGCTGGCTTGATCAATTTTCCTCTGGCAATGTTGGAGAGTTTCAGCCAGGGTTGCCGGTGCAGTGTTCAGAGTGCCCACTAACCCCCACAACGAGAGGGGGGAAAGTGTGTTTGGATTTAAGCAGTGGAAATAGTTGAGAGATGCGATTTCTATGCTCAGGTGAGCTCTTAAGAATGTAGAATCATTTTAAAAATCATGTTTCTTTTTACTCCCTCGTCAGTCCCGTAACAGCTTTCAGCAGGGAGACATCGATGGGGCTCGGCGGTTGGGACGAGTGGCAAAACTGCTGAGTGTCGTTGCCCTGGTCGGGGGGTTGCTCATAATTGTGGCCTCTTGTGCCATCAATTTTGGAGGTGAGTATCAAAGAAATCAACACCGGATCTGATGATGATCTCTCTGGAGAGTTGTGATGCTTAGTATTCTAGACCAGGGGTTCTCAGCCTTGGCAATTTTAAAATGTGTGGACTGCAACTCCCAGAATTCCCCAGCCAGCATGCTGGCTGGGGAATTCTGGGAG